AACATGTGTATAACAGCCAGTCTGATACTGCGCTGTAGATGTTGTCCCGTAGCTACGTGTTACGACACGCTTGGCGGCTACTGATAAACATGTTGTAAGTTACAGTTCCAGAGGCATCTTGTTGTGTGTTACTACCGTATTTATTGTCCTCCACACAGGTGCATTACATCCACAAAGTCTCAAAGATCTCTATTCGTTACAGACAACAGCGTTTACAGAACTCCGCCGTAGCGGTCAAAAACTTTTTGCCCTTCCGGGTCAACACTCCACACCACCTGTTGAACCCTCACAAATATAGTTGAGTGAGCAGCACCATCTAGTGGCCCGACAAACTCAGACACTATTTGGCTCCTACACACCGGCCCCTAATTGGCATAATATACAAACATGACAATTTTTTTTTTTTTTTTTTTTTTTACATAAAGGAGGCCAAATGAGTTCCTCATAAGATGCTTACACAGTAATTAGACTTCATATACCAGGCACAGCTTAGCAATTGGTCTTTCAATAATATTGGATTTAGTTTTCAATTTCACAGATCTCACCAGGTCATGACTATCTGTAAAAACTTCCAAAACCCTTCCGAGAGGCCAAGATCCTCGAGGGGCAGATGGGTCCATAATGGCCACAATATCTCCAACTGCAAGATTTTTCTTCTTTTCATTCCATTTTTGTCTTTCTTGAAGCAAGGGTAGATATTCTCGAACCCATCTCTTCCAGAAAAGGTCAGCCAAGTATTGTATCTGTTTCCATCGCCTCCTCCCATACTGCTCCTCTGGCTTAAAAACCCCAGGAGGAAATGATGGCTTGCCTCTAAGCAGTAGCAGATGATTTGGTGTTAGAGGCTCCAAGTCATTTGGATCGTCTGAAAGCTTTGTAATAGGGCGATCATTCAAAATGGCTTCAGCTTCGCACAACACTGTATTTAGCCCATCGTCATCCAGGGTTTGTTGACGCAGCACTGAGTTTAACACCCTTCTCACCAGGCGGATCATTCTCTCCCAAACACCACCAAAATGAGAGGCAGCAGGTGTGTTAAAAGTCCAATTAATTTCTACCTGTGCCAAGAACGAACTTATTGTATCCTGGTCCAGTTTAGCAAGAGCTTCCTTCAGTTCTCTCTCAGCTCCAACGAAGTTTGTTCCATTGTCGGACCACAGCTGCTTCACTTGTCCTCTTCGACTAATAAATCGTCTTAACGCATTTATACAGGAATCTGTATCAAGCGTAGCTGCTACCTCCAAATGGATGGCTCGACTCGCCAGACAGGTGAATATAACGCCATATCTTCTGCAACATGTTCTTCCTCTTTTAATTTCAATTGGTCCAAAGTAATCAACCCCTGTATTGGTAAACGGGGGATGGTCTGGGAAAATCCTTGCAGCCGGTAAGTCAGCCATTTTTTGCATCAAGAGACGTCCATTGTATCGCCTGCAGATGCTGCACTGTCCAATAATCCTTCTCACAGCAGAATTTCCCTTTGTAATCCAGAACCTTTTTCTTACAGCTGACAGAGTGTGAGCTCGTCCAGAATGTCCAAGAGTTTGATGGAAACATTTGAGGATTAGTTCTGATATGTGTTGTTCTTTGGCCAGGATTATTGGATGTTTAGATTCCTCCGGCATTGCACTTCTATGGAGTCTACCTCCAACTCTCAAAAGCCCATCCTCCAAAACAGGATCCAACGCATAGATGGAACTCTGACGGCTTACTCTGGCATTCTGCGATAGAGCTTCAATCTCCAGCTTGAACCTTTGTTTCTGGCAGTACGAAATAATAAAGAACTCTGCGCTCTGTAGCTCTGCGATGGACAGCCTATTGCTCTTTGGGTCATTGGTGGTCCTCTGACGCCCTCTTGTATTCATTTTGTGCACAACTAAGTTTTTTTTTACTGACCTGTCCAACTGTTTTACACATTTACA